ATATGAGTTATTTAATCTGTTTATTATTAATATAAAATATTATAATCCAACTAATATGCTAATGTTGATGTATGAATTCAGGGGCGGACCCACATGGTGTCTGTCGGGTGCTCGAGCACCCATTAACTTCGTTACGAAATATATATATATATATCTATGTAGAAATCGATTGGTATTTGTATAAAATTAACATAGAGCACCCAATGAATAAATCATATAGTTGGCCCAATGGTTCTAAGATGGGTACTTAAGACTCTTTTAATGTTGTTGTACCAAGGTTCGAATCTCATTGTTAACACATATTCTTAACGAAAGTTCATTAAACATTACACAAGTAATATATATATATATATACAACACACAATCTAGAGTGTATGAACACAGTTTCATTTATTTTGCTATATTTATTTTATTTTATTTTACGATAAAGAGTTTTTTTAAAAAAAATTATTGATACAAAACAAATTGCAATAAATTTTCTCTATAATTTATTATAGTTGCGTGACCTTTTGAGATATTAACTCCAATTTTTAAGATGAAAATTATTTACTCTCACATAATTTAAGTGAGAAAATAATGATCATGACAATAAAAATTTTATTCTCCTAGCTAATTAAAAATGTTATAAAAAATAACATTCTCCGTTAATTATCTACCTTGACTCAATTATAGAAATAGAAAATTTCATAATAACTCTAGGGTATAATTGGAAAGAATTGTTTTTAAACATTTAAACCATATACAAAATTAGGTAAGAAAGAATGAATCAAAACACTTGATAAAAATAATTCGTTCATTACTAGTTCCTGCATTACCAATCTCTGCATTACTAATCCCTACATTATTGATCTTTATACCAAACGATCTTCAAATCATGGGTTCGCCTCAGGCGGTTATTATCTAAGGTTAAGTAACACTAAAACTTGACAATGTAATTGCAAGGAGAAACACCACAACACTAGAATCGGATACCTGTAAACCATGTTGTACTATGTCAGAATCTTTGTATAAAGTGAAATTGCATTATTATCACAGAAGGCTAGCAAAAGAACAGAAAAGTGGTTACAAAGTAACAGGCTCTGCACTTACATAAAAAGATATCAATGGTTATAATTAAAAAAAAAAAATTATACCAATAAAGATTGTGGTAGAGTGATAAGTACTTTTTTATTCTTAATCAAGAGATCTCGAGTTCAAGTTCCTTGAGTACGAAGTCACCTTTGTTAGGGAGCACTTACCCCCTAATATGAGACTTTTTGAACACGCAATCTTAAGGAATTTTCCCAACCACTTATTCACTAGACTAAACTTTTCACTTATATTAAAAAGGAGTTTTTGGCCAAAAATATCCTTCAATTATAACTCAAACTTAAATTACATCTTTAAAGTACCATTTTTAGCAGAAAACATCTTTTAATTATACCCCAAACTTAAACTACATCATTAAAGTATCATTTTTAGTAGAAAACATCCTTCAAGTATTTTACAGTAAACAATTTTCATCCTTCTACTTGAATTTATCAGAAAACTAATCGATATATCCCACAAAAAATTAAGTCGTTCCTTCCTAATTATTATTCTTAAATATGCCAAGAATATCATCCATGAACAATAGTGTCTAAGATTTATTTTCAAAGAACTTCTTGTAGAAAGTATTAAAATTTTCCAGAATAACTTTTGTTAGTAGTCATGTTAGCTACTCATTTTTTTTGTAACATCTCTTAATTTTTTGACAATATTTAACAAAAGGATGAAAGTTGTTCACTTACAAATACTTAAAGAATGTTTTCTGCTAAAAATGATGCTGTAAGGATGCAGTTTAAGTTTGGGGTATCTTAAAGGATATTTTCTGCTAAAAATGATACTTTAAGAATGTAGTTTATGTTTGGTGTATAGTTGAAAGATGTTTTTGGCCAAAAACACTATTAAAAAGTGTCAATACTTATATATATATATATATATAAAATGAAAATTTGACTTTTATCGAAAACTTAAATAAACAATAAAAGATCAGACGTTCTACTGAAATAAATTTCACTAAAACCAGCTATTTAAATTCTCTGGGGTATCTAATTTATTCTATTAATATAATGACAGAAAAATTATAACACAAAGGTTCTATGGTCTAGCGGTTAGGACATTGGACTCTGAATCCAATAGCCCGAGTTCAATTCTCGGTAGAACCTTCCCTTTTTTTTTAATTGAGTTATCGTTTTCTTATATCAAATCTAACATTTTAATAAATCAAAACGATAATTAGTATATACAAATCATAATTGTTATATTAGGAATGATAATAAAAGTACCTTTAACAGTTCATAGAATATATTTTATTAGTAAGTTTGAAACATCTATCTCTACTCCATCATGTTTAATGTATACAAAATATCAGCAGCATATGTAGTTTAAATAGTATCGTTTTCAATAATCAAGATAAATTATTGTGAACAAAAAACTTTATGCGTATAAGCTGAATTTCTATGCACTAAAATCATCTACTATACAAATTAAATGGACATATAACACTTTTGTTTTGATAGTCATTACCTATCGTATTGTATTGTTATTTTGAGTACAATGTTTATTTTGATAGTTACGTTATTTTTATTATATCGTCTAAATCCATTATTAGGTAACAATGAACAATATCCATTTTGTGTAACGCCCGATTTGATATGATTGTATCATAATCTTAATATTTTAGTCATAATTTATCTTTATTTATTATTTAATAACATTATCTTATCATTTACCTTACATTTTCATAATAGTTGCACCCATACCCATAGCATAGATTTCTTGTTGATTTATCTTTCAAATTATAAATATGTGATATTACGTAATAATTCAGCCTATCCAACTATAGTTGTTTAAACAATAGAACACAAAGCATACAATACAATATATAGTATATTATGAATTAATATGTCACAACCATTCAAACAAAATTTAAATTAAACGCATACATGATATATTTTTTAAAATATTAAAATTGAATAAATAATTATTCTACTCCTCTATCTGTTTAGATGGGCCGTTGGGGAAGGAAGCCCACAAACCGTATTTGTTTTGGTTTTAACAAAGTTAGTAGAAGAACAAACTCCTTTAATCTACAAATTCAAAATTTGAAAGTTTTAATCTTATAGTTATAGTCACTTGTTAGTTATAGTTACTAATTTTTGCCAGAAGTAGTCTTATTCTTATATGGAATTAAAATTTAAAATTTGATCACAAGGTGTGAAGGTAGAGGTCACAACTTTAACTCTATATTAACCATTTTCCCCTTTTTGTGAGGATCATCAAAACACTTAAAATATAACATTTTCTCTCTGTTTGATAATAACACACAAATATACCTCATATTGAGTTTAACATATATCTCACTGTTAGCTGTTCCAATAACAAGGATCTGATTTCTTGTTAGATGAATAAGTTTGTTAAATCATTAAAACTTCATATCAAGTTCGAACTAACATCTCAAATCAGCTTCAAACTAACATTTTCCCTTTGTTGATGATAACATACTTATTCACCGGTTCTCCCCTATCAACAAGAATTCCTGGGGTAACTTAATTCTCTCGCTTTATACAAACGCAATCACATTTTATACATTTTTGTTTGTATAAAAGCGAGAGGTAGTGAACGAGAGAGGGAGAGTGGCGAACGAGAGTTTAAGAGAAATACGACTGCCAAACAGTTTATTACAAGACACAATTAAATCAAAGTACGATTATAATGTTTAATTTAAATTATTAGCTTGTTATCATATACAATTTTCCGTAAATAAAATCACTTTATAATAACTCCCCATCTTATATCTAACTAATCTCGAGCCAATAGAGAATGAGCATTGAGTTGTATAGAAATAGTTTGGCGGTTGGAGTTAGTTATCATTAATTTGCTATTTAGTCCTTTTCTGTTTTATGTTTTTCATTTTAATCCTTCTTCTTTGATACTTAGAATATATAAAACTCTCTGCAACAGAATGAACTGGGAATGAATTTTTCTCTCTGTAACTCACTCATCAACACTTTTTCATCTTTCTAACCCTAGATCTAAGAGTTGTGAAGCAGCGAAGAATGTCTATAGAGGATCTTCCAATGGACATAATTTCTAATTTGCCAATCGGTCTGATCGGTGAAATTCACTCTCACCTTCCATGGAAAGAAGTAGTGAAAACTAGTATTT